TATTTAACATTTCTTCTCTCTACCAGCAATTTAGCAATTGAGATTCAAACATTTTTATTACCATCTCAGTAATCAGGGTCTTTCCCATGATTTCTCCGCAAACTCCATAAACATGCTGATTCTTTATTTATGCGTCCTACCAGGATTTCATTCGAATGGAAGATGGAAACCGTGGCGCCGTTGATCCTCGTATCTGGAGCACGCGTAGTGCACCCGATTGTGCAAGGTGTCGGCCCACAATCGTCTCGTCTGCCCACGCGACCGCGCTAATTTCAAACGTTTTCGATTCGTAACCGGGAAAAATGACAGACCAGCGCACCGTGACCTCGACAATGCCTTTCGCTATCGATCCCGCATCGTGCACCGCTTCGATCCGTGACACGAGAACCACCCAACGTTGGAAAGTAATAGCGAATATTGCGTTTTAAGTACCGACTCGGCATGACGCTCGAACAAGTAGAAAATTAGAGTATCAACGAGTGTCGACTTACGTCACGGGGAATTTTGCGGTAACGAACTCTAAACGCGTAATAGCTGTTCTGTTCAAACAAACGCAATAGACCAAAGGTTGCGTTAGATTTCTACTCTAAAATAAACGATCGCTTTCGAAAGTTCCTCGGTTTACTTATTAATTTATTTAACGATTTTACTCGTCATACCGTTACTCAACAATGAGCTTTTTAGAAGATTCGCGCGTCCCTCCGTGTCGATTCTGATAACAGAGGATTTAATGATTTATTTGTAATTACTGTTATTATATCGTGATATTCGATTAAATAGCTTCGAGTCTAATGGAAGAGCGGGTGACTTCAATGCATGGCTATGCTACCGTCATCGAGCTGGGAAGTGTTAAGTGTACTCTATATTTAACTATGAATCTCCATTACGGCACGAACTAGCCGTCTACTTCCATACGCATTAATTCGCGTACTTTAGAGAACAATGAGATATTTTAGACGCTTTTCGTCATTAAGTACTTATCGATATTTGAATATCAATTGCTTTTTTTGGCCGAATCGAGTCATCCTACATCTCTATTAGGTCCCTACGTGCAGTCAGTCCCACGAAAGAAATTTGTCTAAATTAAACGATAGGTTTAATGTTTCCAAATAAATTTGTCACCGTAAGTACACGAACGCGTAAACTCAATTTACGTACATATTTTATCACTTTAATAGATATGGAAGGTATGAATACTTACGGGATCGACTGTAGATAAGAAATTTACTCATTTCTGGCGAGTGCTATTCATGTCGAGGAATTCCAGGAAACGTATTCCAGTAACCGATTTTTTTAGCGAGCCGCGCTGGCGTACGGGCCAGAAGCAAACGATCGCATAATGTATTCGGAATACATTTGCAAGATAATGGACTCTCTCGGTGGCGTTTCGAAGGCGTCGTCCGTAAAAATAGTTTCCCGCGTCGCATCCAGATGCAACCGCGCCATGAATTCCGTGAAAGCTCCAACGAATAGGCCTCTTCCATGAATTTCGATGACATTCAGCACCGTTTCCAAGAGTTCGCACTCGTATGCTAGTTCTTAACGCTTTAACTACCTATTCGACTCAGCGCTACACGGCTTAAAACCTGTCTCATCTTTTGCTAAACTTAAGTTGAATATCGCGCGTAGAAATTCATTCTGTGCCTTTCTAAAGCGGACTCGGAAACATTTACTTGAAAACATCGAACCTATCATTTAATTTAGACAAATTTCTTTAACACAGAAGGTACTAATGGGACTGACTGTAGTTATACAAACAAAAGAATTACAAATGTGCGAATATATATATATATGCATTGAAATAATTTCTACAGGACAGTTACGAACAATTTCTGTAAATACATCTCCCATATTCATCGATAATATCATGAAAACTTGAGAAACGCGTTGAAGCTCGGCACCTTATGTGTCTCTAGAAACATAAATATTTAATCCCAGCACGCAACAGTTCCTTTTCGCGATTAATCGTCCCGACGAGTCAGTTTTTGCAATCAACGACGATAATTTGCAGTAGGTATGACGACGCCAGGAACCGAACGTCTCTCCCCTTAATCATCTATATTTTTATATTCCTAACAGGACTTACGCAATGCCCGTCGATGGTTCGTTGGTAAAAATAGGTACTTGCGTTACATCCAGTGGCGGTGACGCCGTCCAAGTCCATAAAAGCGCACCAAAGGATCACTCCCGTCACTGTCGCGTATCCTTCTTTTTTTTTTTTTATATATATATATTACATAGAACTCACTCACTCGCGTACCGCGCTACACTCCCGACCCGTTTTTCATCGGAGCCGCTGTCGCACGCTTAATCGGTCCTAGGTTCCTTCTTTTGCACATCCCCGGCATCGAAGTCTCTCGCGAAAGCACGCACACCGAGCGGAGAACCGGATCCCAGCCAACGAACTCCTATACTTGTCACAGAAAGTGTCCCCCGCTCGAAATCACTGCACCACGGATCACGTAAGTACGTCCGCGGAGTATACTCGAACGGCCTCTCGACGATCGTTTTTCTCGATTTTCAGCGTCCTTGAGCGGTTAGGCTCATCTCGCGAAGCGGTTCAGATTCCGCGAACCCGAAACACTTTCTTTTTCGACGAAGGATCCGCGCTCTTCCTCGAGAAAGGAAATTTCTATCGGGACTCTTATCGGCGCGTCTGCATACGTTTGTTAGCGCAGGGACTAATTAGCACTCCGGAATCATTCGACTCTCTATTGCGTGATATAAGAGAGGATTCGATAAAAACAAGTTCCGATACTTTTGTATTTGTATGTGGAAGTATTTTATTCGAGATGGTGGTATTTATTCTTCTGCCTATTGCTCTGAACGCCAACTTTCAATCTATGAAGTTTACAAGAATTCTCATATGGTATCCTTTTGCAGGGACATCTAGCTGTGCAGACCACTTATCATTTTGCTTGAGCATTAATTAACGAACATAAATTACCTTCTAAGCAGTAATGTGTTCCGTCGAAGGATGACGGAATAAAATTATGCGATAGAGGGTTAAGAGCAGACGAGTCCCAAGGTGAGGAAGTGACTTTTAATCGATTAGATAATGACGGTGACAGAGTGATTGTTATTGGATTTCCGAGTCGAACCAGTCTTCCGTCGACAGATCCTTCGAGGGAACACTGTACGAATCGTGACGTAAGTTTCAATTAAGTCGTTGCCAACGCGTCAAGCCCGAACTTCGGTTTTGCCTGGGACACGATTCCTTTTTCAGAGATCCGCATCCGTGACTTTTGCTGCGCGTGTTCGCTTTCTAAAGTCGTTAACACCGGTACCAACGAAACCGGAAGCGCTGCCAAAAGAGTCACGGAGATGCACCCGAATCGAACGATGGGTAGGCCGACCACCTAAAAAGGGTCCATTCGACCACTGTGCTCGGTGACCACTTGCTTCGCACCGTTTGCAAGAAAAGCTTGGTGTGTTTTTAAATAAAAACGCGATGAAAAAGGCGGTAAAATTACAAGTGAAATTAAAACGAGGTTTTAACGCGCAAAAACTCAACCGATGCACGTTACGCCCAGGTAGTCGCATAATTTTCTGATCGCGCGCCTCGCGCACATCCTTGACACCATCTGCCCAAAGGATGTACTAAAGGTCGAAACTATCGCTCTGACATAACGACGTTCGATTTCGCGATCGGAGCGTTCGCCCACGGTTAATTCCAGCTGCGTTTCAATTTTCCTCCGCTGTATGGTCAGGTCTCAAATTCGCGCGCCATATTGGAAGGTCAAGTTCGCGACAGAACTATGCTATTCGAAAATCGATCCGTCATACTTTCGCCGATAAATGCATCGAACATTCTCGCTGAGAGACAGTGACGCGTTATTCTCTCGTGGTGTTTAAAACAGAATGAAATTCGATCGCTTTAGTTCTAATAGGAATATAAAGAATTCGAAACGTAGAAAGTCCTCTTAGATCGTGCGTAGCTTCTGAGAACAGTTTCTTTTAGGTAATTATTGTAAATAGAATATAAGGAGATGGGATATCAAATTATTATTTTGGTTTCAAATACGAAGCACGTTCGTTAAAGATTATTTTGCTACGGGATAACGCGCCACTGCTCGAAAACGGAAGCACGCAGCTTCGACGAAGGTGTTACACTTTTTACGGAAGATCGAGAACCCGTGGAATCTTCGTATCCTTTACGAGGATCTATTATTAATTCAAGGTCGGATTCGAGCATACCAAGCCGAGGATGGAGAGGAAGAAGAGCGTGAGAAATTTTCATCGAGCCGTATCGACCGAACGGAAATAAAAATCCTCGAAAGGAAGAGACGACCATTTTGGAGAACCAAGAATCCCTTCGACCGTGACCAACCTGTTTATCCTGCTTCCAGACTTTAGACAAAGCTAATCAAACAACTATGGTACACTCCTCGTAACACTTTAGGTAAGAATAAACCCTTTCAGTACGAAAAAAAAGGATCAGCATTATTTACACACCGATACAACCACAACTCCATAGGATGACGATTCTGTAGCACGACAGGACTCTTGGACCGTGACCACCGTAATTATCCTTCTTTTCGAAGTATCCTGGCAAAAACTTCAGTCAGCGAGCGACCCGAGCTAGACACGAGAATAATCTCCTTAACGACCTTGACTTCAGAAGAAGCTAAACCCGTTCCACTTTCGATACGTCCTGAGCTCTCGATATAGAATCCTGCGGACTCGTTACCATTTTATCACCAGAAACGCACGCTTCGCGATACAGCGGGATCAACGATCGAGACGTCGAGTCGCGCGAACCACAGTCGACGAACACGGGGAACCGTCTCCGGATAACTTTAACATCCGGCTAGACCGAGCAGACCTGGTACCGAGGAGAAAACGCGAAAACGGCGCGAGATACCAGGTGGTCCCGCGTGGAAAACGGCAATCGACCTAATTAATCGACGTATACCGTTAAAGTCGAAAGTACCGACGGGTGGTTGGACGTTCGTGAAACTTCGTATCCTCGAAGCAGACGGTTCCTCGAGCACACTTACCCGTCCCCATGGCTGACAGCAGCCTCCTTCAGCCACGATGCCTGCTTGTATGCGTAGTCCAATGTTGGCTGGTTTCGCTGGTCGGTCAACAACGTGAAAGAAAAAATAAATAAACAAACTGAACCACCTCTCGGCGAAGACGTCGTGGAAAAGGACGTACTCCTCGTCCAGCCGGGAGACCGCGGACGAACTGGCGGCTGGCGAAGACTTTTGGTGAGACTTCGACGTGAGACAACGGCGACGTCATCGCCGGCCTGGTGTCTCATTGGTCGACGATCCTTCTCTTCGCTCTCTCGTCGACTTGCCTCTCTCTTTTCCCTGGCTCTCCCTCCCTCTCCTTTTCCTTCGACGAACTCCTGCTCTCGCGGCTTTCCTTCCCCCATCGCCCCGCGGATCGCGGTGCACCTTCCCTCTCTCTTTCGCACCTGGAACGACCGAATCGCTCCTACCTGCTCGGGCTCACTCCCACGGCAGACCTGGAACCGCGCGGAGCCGCTCGAACGGCGCGCGAACTCCGGAGAGCTCAACGCCTGGAACCAATCTCCATCGCTGACTCGCGGACCCGTGTGTGAAAGCCTCTGCAACAGTGGTTCTTAACCATTTTAAGCTCGCGACACAGTTTAACACGGTTTAAGTTCGAAGTAGAAAGATTTATTCTTTGATTCTGGTAGATTTATTTTTTGCAAACGGCCATCCACGAAAAACATCGACAAAAGGTCGTTCGAGAGAACGTCGAGGAGCTCAGCGCGTGGAACCAATCTCCCTAGCTGCTCGTGGTCATGTGTGAATGCCTCTATAAAGCGTACCGGCTCCGCATAGCTAGCTGTGGGTTAAGTATCTTAGAGGACAGATGATCCTGTTACTAGAGGTCAATCGAAACCCGCCGTGCTCTAAGGTCTTTCCGGAATTTCACGGCGGCTTCGACGTTACGTTCGCCAAAGTTCATCGCGGATAAGCGAATTCAAGCTTTTTCCTCTATCGGATGCAAGGAAATATAAAATATTTATGTATGATATTTCTACGCATAGAATCATTTAGCTCCAAGAGGTTTGATAAATATTCCCCGTGATCGTTCAGCTCTGCAAATGTCGTCGAGCGCGGCGATATAATTGAAACGTAGTATAACGTTTCTATACGTTAATTTGAACGATAATTTCACATTGGTTCCCAAGTGGTTCGCTAAATATTCCCAATAATCGTCCATCTCTAGAAATGTCGTGTAACGAAAACGGTGCTCGAGTGAGTCGATTTGATGTGGACATAGCCATCGAAGGAGCGAAATCGTACACGACAGCGATCGTCAGAGCATGAAGTGGATGTTCAACCATCTCGAAATACCAGTTCACACCTAACTAAATCCCATCGGCGCGTCTTCTGTAACGAGTCTAGCTTCGCTCGTCGAATATATTCATGAATAATTCATGGGGATGGGAATGCGTGTAAGCGATATATGCCGATACATTTTTCCGTGGTACGCGAATCTTATGTAGATCCGCGCGCGCGTCGTGCACCGAGGGACAAGTTTGAAATTCCTTCGCCTCTGGGATCCATCGTCGCGCACCGCGGCCAGTCCCACCACGGGTTTTTCTTCCGGTCTTCGTGATCACAAATCAATGTAGACGTCGAACGAACCGCGTTCTCGGTGACGCGGCGCGTTTCTACGCTGGCAGCGTAACGCTGGTCTCTATGAATCGACGCTGCCGCGGCAGGCTGTAGATTAAGCGTACTGGTGCAAAGTATATATATGTACGTGTAGCTGCACGTCCGTGGATTCTTCTCTTAGCGGCCTCCGCCTGTGAAACGCCTCGAGGCGCCGGGGTTCAGCGACACCGGTGTACTCTAGCCAGGTATATAGGTGTCATTAGAGTCGCGGCGAAACGCGTGTATTCCTCGCCGTGCCTCTTCCGTTCCATGGACAGTCGGATGATAACTTGGCTTAATCTACTAGACGTTAATTACTGCTTTCGGTTCTATTGGGTTGGCACCCTGGCGTTTATTGAAAACTTCAACGGTATAATGAGCACGAGAATAAACGTCCTTGTCATAATATCGGAGCTGAAGTATACGACCTCGACAAATCCTGCCTTTGGCCTTTGGTGGAAAGAGGAGCGCGTTCAGAAATAGACTCCGGATGTTACGCAGTATGGAGTATGGAGCGCAGTTCTACGCAAAGCGCTAAATCGCGTGAAGGGAACCGAATGCTTCTTTCGTCTAACCGAACTGATTTAATCCACCCGCTGGCTGCCATACTCGATTCATCTAACTCCGGTGCAGCTCGTTTAACGGAGCACTAATTTTTCAACTAGGATACCTAACCGCTGTACGGTGCTTTTATCGTCTAATTGCCACGGGACACCCAACGTACAGATGTCCTCGCGCATCGTTCAAGTAACGTCCATAGAATCCTCCGTGGACAAGGATGAAAGTGCTAAACGTCGCTTCAGAGCTAACTATTCTATCGACGAGACCAAACATTTGCGTAGGTTTCACCTCTGGCGAAATACCAGACGAGATTCATTCCGAAATCCTCGGGGCTATCCAGTCTCCGGTTTCGTCCTTCCTGTTCCACCTGAGCGTCTCCGGGCGCTGCGTTAACGTCGCTCGAGCTGCTCGACGCATAACGATTCCCGCCGAGATCCCTTGAATTTCTCCTTCCGTGGATCGGCGCAACGATCCATGGAGCCCAACGATGCAATCTTCCGAAGCATCGGGCAACGATCCATGAGACCTGGTCGGAGGCTCTGGTTTCCGCGAGCCTACGATCACGCTGCGATACCAAACGATTTCGTCCGATTAAAAGGGTACGCTTCGCGTTCGCGGGATCGCATTGTTCATCCTCGATGGAACGACGATTGCGCAACGTCGACGTTGCGTTATACGGAGATTTCGCGGTTCCCCCGCTGGACGCGAGCTCTTCTGCGAAGCTGTAGGTGGTTGGCCGTCCAATTCGAGCCTCGGGGAAATGTCAAAAGGTGTACGAATGTAAACAAGCGTCCGATGATTCTTTTTCTATGTTTAATCATCGGCAGACTCACTCTGTCTTCCAAGGTGAGGGTTCGTCCACCGATGTTGAGCTACTGTTTTTCAAGATCTACCTCGCGAAACAAAATATGCAATAAATAAAAAACGGATAGACCTTGTGTACCATTTTTCGGGTACCGCAGAGTCGACTGTTGCGAGTTTTACCAGCGACAGCAGCTGGACGAACTGTCGCGAGCGAGGAAACGCTTGAACCGCCTCGCATTGGTTATTTGCAGTGGTGATCGAACGAATGTGTCGGTGAAGTCACCGACACTCGGTGGATCCAGGTGTGCGCGCACTCGCGTGCAGATTGGGCGCTTACGTCATACTCGGTATTCCTGTTCCAGGCCATCTCCGGCGAGTATCCTTAAAACGGTCGTCCTCGGAACCTGTGCTACGATCTAATAACGTCCTAATCTCCTCCGCCACGAGACGTGGTCTCGTCACGCTTCGCTGGATACGTGGACTTCGATGATATCCCTATGGAAATTGACGGTCGCGTCGAAGACCGGGAAAACGAGCGGTGAAATTTAATTAGGGAAGGACAAGCGGCGTTATTATCCTGTAAACGGTAATAGGCGAAATTCTTATTTAGAATTAAATTAGATTCGATCGGTTACTGGGTATAAGAGAACTGAGAAGGAAATGGTCGAACGTTATACCAGAAATTCTTTCGAATAAGGAAAATTAATTAGCTTATTAGTAATTCCTATCGGAAAGAATAACCGCGTATTGGTACCTGACGTGGCTGCTTCGGAATATGTGTCTGGCGCCTTCTCCGTGGAATTTTTCGCAGTTCCTGTTCCTTTTTTTCTCTTCTTTTTTCTTTTTTTGTCGAAAAGGATGATATCGACGCTGCATTTGGCGCGAAATGCGATGGCGTTTGCGTGGGAGGCGCGCGACAACGTTCGGACTGCCCACATGGTACGTCGTAACGCATCGGATTGAAAGTATCCAACGTCATATAAACGTTCCAGAACGGCATTGATTTCGGAGAAAGCGTCATTTCAACGGATGAAGAAAGATTGTTGTTTTTTTTTTTTTTAAGTTAACGATAGGGATCAAAGAAAAGGAGTGGCTTGGCGAGTAGTTTTCCTGTTGACATAGGTCTGGTGTCATTTGAGCAGAGAACTCGAGGTCAACCTGTCAGAATTGCGTGGATAAGAAGCCAAGCAACAATATTGGCATGTGTTTTGAAACGAATAATAACGACAATAATATTGTCCACTGGGTCAGAGCGATTGGAAATTACGCAAACTTCTGACACGGTTACTTTTAAACTAATAATCGGTAAATAGGACTAGTCGATATACATATCTTCAATGGAATCTCAACTCACACGATTCTATTCCATCGCCAGGAAGAACGTGTTTGATGTTCATGGGATTCGCGACGATGAAAATGTTGCGGGTTCCGTTTTTGCGATCGAGCACAGAGGATCGTTATTTCATGGAAAAAAAGTGTAGTAAACGGTGAATGATGCCTCGGTACCAGCGAAGGGGTAATTACGTAATCAAGGTTATTACGGCATTAGATAATCGATGCTCCATCGCGATAAAGATGCGCGACCGTTCGTTTGAAGCAAGAAGTGCCATGTACGCCCTACGATCTCGCTGAAAACAACGTCACGCTGATTAATGGTACGCAAAATATATGCTAGGTCCGACGTGGTTTTTCACGTGTTTAATTGCTTCGCAGGTCGTTGCCTCGGACAATGATTAAGCGAATTTTCTGCCGTAAACGTTCTTCGCGTCTCGAGTGTTAAAAATATGTTTTTAAATTAATTGAAATTCGATAAACACTCGACGCGAATTCTATTCGAGTAAAAAGTTTGGAAATAAACGCCGAGAGAAGAGTTCCGAGGGAAGATCGCTTAATTCGGGTGATTTCAATGCCAGCCAGGGTGTCGCGCTTGCCCAGGCGTCGATGTCTCCGCGACGAGCTCTGGCTTTTCATCCGCGCTCTGCCTTGGTCGACGTGAAAAAGAAACTTTGATCGCGTTTATTAAGTTAGCAACGGATGAAAAAGTCCATCTAATGAAGTTTAAGATCGCGTGACGCAGCGTTCCTCGTTCGATTAAACGTTCCTCGTTGTTGTTACCTGGTAATTGCAGATTCGAATCGTCTTAAACGACTGGGTTACGTCTTGATGCATCCACGTCGACGTGCAGTTAGCTTTCAAGAAATTCGATCAAGGCTTCGTGACCGGACCCTCCATGCCGGTCGTTACATTGAAACTAGTTATGGGATCAAATTTAACGTGTAAGTAACTTAAAGTGTAACTCTTGATCGCCGAGTCAACTCGACATCTCTAACTTAAGTATATCTACTTGCTATTTTGGCAATATAGCTCGCTGTCTGGAAATGTTTATATCGATACATTGAAATGGATGGTAGTGAAACATAAAAGTGACGTCGTCAACGTCCGTATACTCTTCTTCAACCATGAGATAATATTTAGTTAAACTCCTACAGGATTGAATTTAATAGCAGCGTATTTCCTGTTACCGAAACCTGTCGGTTAATTTCTGGTATTTTCTTTTTCATTTTATTCCGCTACGCGCCACGTATGGATAATAAAGACGTATTATTATAGCTAGTACTGAATGTTATTGTCGTTCGAAGTATCCACGCGAAAACGCGTCGCGCGCCTATGGTTTTTCATTAGACTTCGCGAGGCTCGTTCAATGAAACGAATCGAACGAGCAATAGCGCGATACGACTATTCCGTAAATCAGCCGAAATGCTTTTCTTCGCGCAGTTATGTTCGTCAGAGACCCGGGAAATCCACTCGAACGTGCAATTACCGCCGATAGCGTACGGTGTGTTTACCTTAGCAATTTAGCTGAATAAAGAATAATATAATTTTCAAAAAACTAAATCCTTTTAACAGTGCGATGTTATATGCGATATCACGTTTAATGACTAAATTATTAACTACACTTTCGTTTAATTAAATGTCTCCTGCATGTTTCCGTATCAATTCCGTATCCATTTCAAGACTTGGAATCTTCAAAATCACATATTTAAATTATATCATTTCGTTATATTAAATTATACTAAGTTGCTCACTTTTTTTTTTTCTATTTTTAGACAGAAGCTGTACATTGCGCGTCGCGGGACGACGGCGGCGTGCACGACCTCCAACCGATCTAGGAATTCCTGTTGCACGCGGACCGACGGAAAATGTGCATTATCGCGTGTCACGCGGGCTCGCGAAGCGTGCGGTCGCATTGTGATGTAATGCGATGAATCAACGGATCGGCGATCGTTCGCATCGCTAGGGGATACACGTGCCCCGGCACGTTTGCAAATTGGTCAATTACCGCGACACTCGACGACATTAGTCGGCGTTTCGATCGAACGTTTCGCCCGCGGTTCGGCCAACGCGTCTCTACACATCGATCTTCGCAACCTGTCCAAGGTGCTCTCGACCTTCCGCGAAACCGAAATACTCGAATCGTGAATCCAGTTTTTACCTTTGTCTCAGTTTTACCGACGAGAAACTTAATTTTTAAAAAAACCAACTCACGCCGCTGTTGCGATGCAGTGTCACGCGTTTCCTGCGAAGGAAGACGTCAGGTATAGCGAGGATGATAAAAATCGAAAGAAAAAGGTGGTCGAGATCTCGAAGATCGAGGTACTTAAGGGACACGTATTTATTTCAGAAGGGCCAGCCCCCACGAACGGTGTCGCCGTTCGTTTTCGTCATCCCAGGGTGCCGTGAACCGTCCCCGTGAAAAAAATAATGTACAAGATGTCCACGACTACTTACAAGGTGGTTGCGTGCCCGACGGGTCGAGCTTTTGTAACTTGATCGAGCAACCGATCGCCATGGGCCGGCATCGAAGCCATCCGCAGTTGGCCAGGCGGATGACGCATCGTCGAAAAGAATACGAAATGAACGCGTGCCCCCACGAACCCGTTACCTATACTAGTCCGGGACGGGCTCGGCTTGGTAGGTACAAGGTGTGCTTCGAAGGTATGCCTGGGTTCGTGCTGCCAACTGGAAACCCGCGCGATGTCTGGGTATCTTTTCCATGGAACTGGAAGGCTCCATTTCTCGTCTATCTTAGCATTGGATTCACCATATTAAAATTCTTTTACAGATGAGAATATTAAAGAAACATGAAATTTTATTACAGGGTCGACCAATCAGCAAGACCTGATAAACTTTTGTCTAAAACATTTTTTAAGTGCACTGCCGGAGGTACCTAACGAATGTTGACAGAACTTAATCGATAGACCCCATGTATCCTGTGAGGTACGTATCCCCGAGACAATGGCGATTTTCAGAAACAGGCGTGAAGTGATCGCCGACCTTGCCGTCGGAATTGAACCTGTTTTTTTTTACGCAACGCGATACGATTCGTCGGTTACTCGATCGGATAACGATTTTTCGAACTGTGCTAAATTAGTTGACTCAACGCTGATTCACTTCTGCGCTCAAGGGTTGCGCAACCACGCCGCGATTCTCTGCTGGCCGTTTACTCTCAACTTTTCGCAATTATATTTAAATGTATCCTGCCGGTTCGCACCGATGGCTACTTATTCTAGATAAGGAGTAGGTGATTTAGAAAGAAATATTTTTTTAGGGAGATCGCGAGAACGATAGTAACTTTCCATGATTTTCTACTTTCACGGATGGACTATAAAAACTTGTCGCGAGTGATTTATCAGTTCGATCGCCAATAGAGCCACGGAATACGTCGACTTGTTCGTGTCTCGAATCGAAATTGAAGTCGGACCCGGGACCAGCAGTGAAAATTGCAGCAACGACCGTGGAGGAATCCGACGAGTAACGGGGCGATCCTTTACTTTCGCTGTATGAGCGATTCGCGACGTACTTTTGCTTTTACTGTAGCCATGGAGGGATCGTTGACAAGAAAAAACTTCGAGTGGACGGCAAGTATCGCCCACCTACACTTCCGTGTCTCGTTCCAACAAGCCATTAACACGTAAGTGTCCTTATTCACCATGAGTCCTTGTAAAATGTGCAGACAGGAATCGCGTGATATTAAATGGTATAACTTTGGAACCGTGCAAGAATTGTTCCAAGAAAAGTTCCAAAAAGGACCAAGTAACCTCCAACGAAGAGGCCTGAAATTTCGAATGGTATTCTGCGCTCCACGAATGCTCTATACTTGAGCATCGAATATTACACCGTAGAATTCAAAAGAGTAAAGGTGGACAAGAAAGTGCTAAGGTGTGCTAAGTCAAAAGTTAATAGTTGCTATTAAAGATAATGTCAGACTCGCGATTCCGTGGGTTGGTATCCGATTCCGATGTTTGATGTTCAAGGTGATGCGGGAACGGTACGCGAATCGACCGGATGCATCGACGGTAATTTATTCGCCTTCAAATGGGTTTGTCCTTCGATGATAATTCGTCTAGCGAAAGCCACGGGGCTAATCAAAGACGCGTTAGCGATCAGGCAACCGAGACGGGCCCCATAATAAAGAGCAAATCCGTGTTCGAATCGCTTCGAGATCAATGCACGACCTTCGGGGTGGTTGTACTACGTCCATCGAACGTGCAGATTCATTTCATTTTTTTCTTTTTACACGCAAGACCATCAGGCTCGAAAGACCACCGCGAGGAACGACTTTTCGTGGGAGCATGAATCGCGTAGGCTAGCGTGTGTGGGCAGTCTGGCCTTCAAAGTCCTTCGGTGGAAAAGTAGAGATCAGGATCGTCGTACGCGTAGGCTCCCGATAAGTGGGAGGACTGGATTAAAGGTATCTCTCCATTACTGCATAACTGTACCTAAGACCGTCGAGAAAGTCGTCGAGTTCCGCTATCAAATCTTCGGATGATTTATGCGATGAATCGTTATATACTTCATCTTTGTGTCTATGGTTCGAGTTCGTTATGGTGGTTGGAGTTGATCTAAGCGGAGAATATATTTTTCATGGATAACTGTACGTCTTTTCGCGTCGAAACAACATTTTTTCGTGTTGATATCGAGACAAAAAACGAACAATGTCATACATAAGGAGATGTTGTAAGAATCTAGTTGAGAAATAACTTTTGGTAGAAAATTCAACATTGCTTTTGCCGAGACCGGTCGCCAGTGAATAATAAATTGAAGAACGTATTACTTTATACGAAAACAACTCTTAAACTGTTCAATTGTAGCTTCAAATGCTTCTAATGAAGCATTTATATAATTAAATAAAAAGACATTCGAATTTCCCGCGGGTAATTGTGTCGCCATCTAGCGGTGAAAAGGCCGAACTAATTTTCGGAGTATGGTCAGCGCCTCTATCGGGAAAACGCTCAAGTTTGTCCTCAATAGTTCCTTTCCTCACTTCTAGATGGCGCTGTTTACCGTGTGTTTTACCGACCTGTCGATACATTACCATCATGTCGGTAAATAACACTGCTAATAGCGCCATCTAGCAGTAAAAATAAGAACTATTGAGGACAAACTTGAGCGTTTTCCCGATAGAGGCGCTGACCAAACTTCGAAAAATAGTTCGGCATGTTCACCACTAGATGGCTATTCATTTGAGCGAAAATATCGGGAACCAACATGAAAAGTTGTGAGAGTGCAAAAGTTTAGAAAAGAAGGTTAGTAAGAATATAAATCGAGGCGATAATAACATCTGAAAATTTGTATATAGGTTTTAAAGGAATTAAGTGATTCATTTAATTGTCAATTATATTTCTTTTTATTAGTCATTCTTATCCAGTGGGTTTAGCTTTCCTTTGCTTCCGTTCTTCTTTGCGTTTTTGTTTTTCGGCAGCGTCATGGAGTCGCCTCTTCTTGCGAAGCAGTCGCACTTCTTTCGCTCTCTCTTCCCGACCTTTCATCATACTCCTGTACAAGTTCCGGTGCTTTTTCTTGATCATCCGTTCTCGCAGCCGGTACTCTTGCCTCTCCTGTCGATTCTTTTCCCATGGATCTTCCTTCGTTACCGCTCCGCTTTTTACCTTCATTTCCTTTTTCTGCAATTAACGAATATACAGGTAATGAAACAATATCACGGCAAACTTCCTAACAATGTATATTTCTAACGATGATAACCAACCTTTTGTAATCGTTCTCGTCGTTTTTCTTTATCCGCCTCTGACATCTCTAAGTCATTATCTTCGTTTCCTTCTTCCGCCACTTCCTTGTCTAACGCCTCTTTCGAATCTTCTTCGTTCGCTTCGTCTTCTTCTGCTACCTCGTCAGACTCGCTATCCTCTGGCGAATGATTATTGATTATAATTACCATTACTGGTATATTAGAATATTTTATATGATCAATGCAAAAAACATACCATCGTTTAGTTTGAATCCAGGATCTGTAGTACTACGTTCCTCTGGTGGAATGTAAGCTTCATCGTGACGACTGTCCGAGAACGGAGAAAGATGAGGCGGAAGTATACAGCCCATTAAATACTTTTCTACTGGTAAAAGTTCCCTAGCATTGACCGAATCGAAAACCCATTGTGGTTGAATGTAATACCTAGAGATGTATTGTTTGTCCATGCTAGGTCTGTCTACTATTTGATGAGTTATCGTCTCGTCGCTTTCGTCAAACGTTGCTCCGATGAAAAGCAATTTATCCCAAGACACCTCGGCCCCAAAACAACGCAAAACAAAAACCAATGGTTCCCTGGGCACTTCTCTATTTAAGAACACTTTTAAGCCTTTAAACAGCGTCTTCAACTTTTTAACTTTTTCTACCTCTATCCTAGCTTCTTCCAATTTTGTGACATCACCCTCGTTTGTAAATTGGTCCATCTCTAAGTCTTCATCTTCTGCATTCTGCACAGAAGGATCTAGACTATTTAATTGTATATTTAATGCACTTATCCTCTCTGAGACGTATGTGTCCTCATCCGCGAGTGATTTTTCATTATGTTCACTAGTAGCAAGTTTTGGTGGATAATACAAATTAAGTGTATGATAAAGCCTATAATTAACAAAGCCTAACAGTGTAATATAGAATTCTACGAATATAGACATAATTTTGAAGTCTACATCATTCTTTGCTTGTGGCTCAAAACAGAAGTGATGTGGGACAATCCAAGTGATCGATTGTCCTTTGATTTCAGCCTGATAATAATATCCCTTAATTGATACAAATACTTTACGCAGTGCCTTAGCAGCAATAACAGCGTGTAAAAACTCAATTGACAATCTTCTACATAATAACGACTGATCTCTAGGTACATGACGAAGAGATGGAAATGTGCTGAATAAAAAACACAGTGTTAAACAGTCATCCAAATCTCTGAGAGCATCTATAAATGTTGGATAACGTTCTTTGACAATATGATCCAATTTTAAAGTGGGATGATTGTTTAAATATCTCTTCATATTTGAGAAGTCTCTCAATGCTTTTGCCTTTGCAACTTTTTTATTAAATATCTAAAAGAATGCCATTCCATTAGAAACTTATAATCCTTTACGTAAACATCGAAATGTCAATTTGAATACAACGTACCTTGTAGTCTCGTAATTTCCAAATGATAGGTTCGTGTAACAAAAATTGAATGTCCTTTTTGTGATACAACGTTTTGATACCAGGCTCGCCTTTCTGAGCTCTTTTACGATTACGTGGTTCTCTTGGGTATATGCCCTTTAATATACATAATCTACGGAAATCATTCAAGGAAAGTTGCAATTTTTTCAGAGCAGCCTTCCTTGACATAAATTGCGCTCCCTCTCCAGCCTGATACTGCAAATTTAAACATTCATTTAATAATAATTTTTCAAATTGATTTTTGTCATAACATAACCTCCGTTGGTTTAATACGATCAAGTGTAATAGAAATGTAGGAACTTTTGACACATACCTTTTTCTTTCCTATTACAACCATTTTTGGATGTGATTTTAATACAACTAAAAATGCGAAAACTACATTGACAAATTACAAGTTGTAGAAGAATTCCACGTGCTCGCGTAAAAAAAACAATAGACAGCAAGAGACACAAGAGATCTCGCGCATAGTAGCGCCGCGTGGGAAAGTTCACCTAACTAAGATGTGGACCGCATGCGCGTGTATAGTAGCGGAGTTTTTTAAATTACTTGAAATTATTTAAAAGAAAGTAAAGCAGAGAAAGTGAGGACGTAGCTCAAAGGATTTTCAAAAAATATAATTTTTCAAATGAAAAATAAATTATTTGCAGAAAAATAATAAACGATCGAATAAAGGGAACAGTAGTAATAGTGTCGTTCGTGTGATCGTCTCTAAAAATATTTGTTATTTATTTATCCTGATACAGGGAGTGCAAAAGAACGCAGAATTGTTCGGTCTTGTAATTAGCAAGAAGTAAGGAGGAATCATGTGTAGGGTTGCAAAATGATATTACACGGGATAAATGTCTGTCTTTCTTTATTAACAAGCTGAGTTTAGCATATCCGTTGAAAGTTTGACACTTCGATACGACGTTCGATTGGTTTGTTTATTTAATCTTTTCATGTTAAACATAACGGACGATGATTAATTCATCTAGTTTGCTCACGGATACTTATACGAGGATATGATACATAAAGTCTAAGTTTCACGATTCTCATGTACAAACAGTTGGCTCGTTCGCTGTAGCGGTGGTACGGCGATGAGTTCCTATATATCACACGCAATCACACATGCACGCGTTTTTCGTACACGCACGCTTGAAAAAAAAAAAAAAAGAAAGAAACATTTTCCTAATTTTGTCGTCCGAATTTCTTCTAACTACGATCACGATTTCTGGCTATGACAAAAATTTCCTAGAAATCATACAGATCGCTGTTCTCGTGCTTAAATTGGTGCATAGATTCAATCTTCGTGGAATTTACACATCGTATCTGTACATGTTAAGCACGCAGTTACCTTGTATAATAAATTATCTCGTAAGAGGGCATACTCTGCATATCCTTTGTCTAAATTCTCAATTTGCCACGCGGCTTTTTGCCTCTTTGGTACGTGTTATTCGTTTAATTCGTAACTTAGCGTACGTACGTTGCGCACCTCAATAACAAGACGCACAAGATGATTAAAAGTTCCGTATAAATTTAAATGGCATTGGAAGAACTTTCGTTATACATTAAGTACACGTATTATTAAGTGTAGCGTTAGCGCGGGAGGAACTTCGGAGATCGAAGATATACTCTAGCGAACTTTCATAGGAAGTTGAAATAATGCTGATTTGGCAGTTTATCGGTTAACATTAAATTAGGGTATCGATATAATGCAGTCGAGTTCGGCAATCTCCTATAGATTAGTCCCAAACACCTTTAATTGTTGCACGTATCGATTATTCTTGCGGGAGGTTTTCTATACGACACCCGATACCGCAGTAATATCCTGGCAACGTTGCGGTATCGGGTGCCGTATAGTTTAGTTTCTAAAACGCGCGATCCAGTCTGTTTGATATTTCCGATAGAAATAGAAATTCTCTTATGAAAAAATGAATCCTCGATTGAAAACGATTCGATAATGCACGGACGAGTCTTTGTTTCTCTCTTGTTTTCGAGAAAATAGACCAGGTATGCCCTCGTTTCCGAATATACGCTCGAATCGCGAACGATGTAGATCGATACCTCGTTTGCCTATCGTAATCAAGGCGGTAGCCTTGAATTAATTAGTCTTAGAGAACCGTAAATTTTGGTTGGCAGAAATCAGCGTAAGCGTAGTTAATTGGCCTCGGTCTCTCGCCGCGACGAAAACAGGAGCACGAGTCCGGTTAAACGGACAAATTTCGAAACTCGGTGGATCGGTCGTTGTAAAACCTCCTCGATCGATCGATCCGAGTTTTGCCTCGGGGAGGCGTTGTTTTACAGGCTATTTTACAAAACGGCTCGCGCATCGTAGCGCGATCGGAAATAACGCGCGACACTTAAAAATTATCTTTGGCGTTAGTCGACGATCGAGGTCGCTCTATTATCTCGATAAACAGTTCGCCCTCTAAATATGACGCGTACATGTATATTATATACACCTTACTGTTATACTCTGTCTCGATCACAAGTCCTCTTCTCTGATCGAAACTGCGTGCCTCGACGTGACCGTTTGATCGTCGAAACAAGATTATCGACAGAATCAGTCGAGTTGGACGTCGAAACGCGCAGTCGCGTCTCGTTAATGCCGATAATTAGGAATATTGTTACAATTGGCGACACTTCGTCTTAAGCTGAAATTGTCTCGATGTCGAGCGACGTCTCAAGATTTCCCATGCGTATTTACTTGTTGAAATTTTTCGAAGGGTGGTCTTTTGTGCGGCCATTCTCGATGTTCGCTTCGCGATTTACTCTTCGCGGCCGGATCAATTATACAATGGGACTGGAACTATTTGTCGGACGTTTCATTTGCAGTCCAAGTTGCGCTGTTCAATTATCACGAATATCCGGGTGATCGATCGGTGCGCGAAACAGTATTCGTATACCCAAGTGCTCGACTGGTATTAAATTAGTTGAATAGTCGAGTATTCGAGTATTATTGTTCGTATCGGAAGAAAAGTTGGACAAGTAGCCCCAGCCCTGCTATAGAACCTTTAATAACAGCGTGACTAACGATACGCGAGATTAATATTATACAGTAGACGATTATACTGGAGTGTAGTTCGTTATCCATCGCTAAATTGACTCGTTTTCCTTGCGTTCCAACTGTTCTCGCAGACTCATCCCGATGAGTCGTTCAAGCGGTGCAACGTCCTCTTTTCTGGTGACGGGATTCTAAGACACCTAAGCGTTCGTCGTACTTTCATTTCCGTCCTATTGCTTCGTGCGTTGGTCCTTGGAACACCGTTGGCGAGCAAACGTCGCCAGATAGAATCGAATCGCTCTTTCGCACTAACACGTTCACTGGACGATCTTACATTTCGTCGGTATTCAAAGACTCGCATTCGTCCATTGGCATCCTACAAAACGCTTAGGCAATCGACAACAGTTTATTATTCCGTTTACATCGTACTGCCAAGATTCCCATTGAAATTGCTAGATCTCGATCATACGTGTATAGTGAACTCTTGTCTCTCTTGTTCTTTCCTTTGTTGGTACCTGGAAACGAAGTTGTACGGAAAGGTTGTTAACACCGATTCGTATCGCGCTATCGCTAAGAAATATTATCTTTGTAATAGGAAATGGTAATTTCGGAATCAGAGAAATTTTGTACCATTCGAGTTAAACTCTCGCAGCTATAGTGTTCTAATCGGTGTTTAAAACTTCTACGGTGGATTATATATATACACATATATAGGTGGTTGGTATTTTACGTATGGTGTGAAACTAAATTTCATTTCCGTGAGTTAATTGATACGAATATATTAATTGGTGTAACTTCTTGTAATCCTAGGACGACTTCTGTCGTGTTCTATTACCGGACATCTTTTGGTAATGAAGACATTTCGAGGGTTAATTTAATTAACTGCATAGACGAAGAGAAGGTGAACGTAATTGAAAGAAATCGTTCGTACGGTTGAGATGTCCTATATTGCTTTGATAACGCGTGTGATGCGATTATTAACCTTTCCTTGATTATCTTTTGACCGATAGTCCTCCTAGGTTTAAAGATCAATAAGAAATGGATCTCAACGTGTTAGCTTACTACGGTCTACGGAGGTTCGTGTCGATACCTAGCGAGCATAGATTCGACGGCCTCGATCGGCAGTCTACCCAAGCTGCCGCCGTGGCGGGTCCCGGCTGACAGACCTTGCCAGTCGCGATCACGGTCACGGTCACGCTCACGGTCACGATCACGGTCACGGTCACATTCTACGTCGCTCAATTCGCGGCTGTCGCTAAACCCGCTTGGCGGCAACAACGTCATGTCCTCCACCGAACTACGCACAATAAGATCAGAGAAAAACGTCTTAGGGGAATGAATGATTAACGCTAAGCACGTGAAAGATTTGATCGCCGTTATCGGAATCCAAACGAGCTTGGAAATTAATTTCAACTGATCTCTAATCAACTTCTCGTCGTTCGCTCCTATCGTTGTCACTGGTAATTGTTCGGTCAGTTCAAATTAATTTCCTGGAATCAAATATATTTTCTTTCTGCATCGATGTTCGGCTCGTTTCTCGGCTGGTTGACCAAACAATTTTTTTTTTTTTTTTTTTTTTTTTACAATTTTTGCAGCAGTATCTGTCGTTAGTAGAAAAATGTAGCATCCCGGTTTGTTGCTGGATCAGCATCATCGCTGTCTAAGAATGCAAGGTCTGCTTCTTAACAGTGGTTCCCGGTTTCTCCAGAGTTCACATTTTTCCATAACTCATTCTGCATCGGCACGAGACCGATAAGACCGTGATACGGTATTAATATCGAGTAAAATCAGGACTGAGTGCTATGTGGAAACAAACAAACCTTGGCTACCTGCGAGTGGACCGGCTCGGCTGTCGGCTTCGTCGTCTCGCGAGCGAAGGTGAACCTTCGTTGTTGGATTCTGTACTCGACTCCACGCCTCGTGAAAACACATCTGCGAAACGAGTCGGTCGATTAAACGATCGGAAAAATAAAAGAAAAAGAAACTACGCGAGATTAAGAATAATCACGGATTAAGAATGATTCGAGAGATTTGTTCACCTCTGCAAGGTTTCACTGGCACCCTGTAACTAGGTCCGGCGCATTCTCCGCAAGGACTCCCGGACGTGTCGCTCCCAGAACCCTGTCGGCTGGAGCGCATCTTGCTCTCGGCTTCCGCGATGCTCGGGAAGTATCGTTGCTTGTGCCACCTTGGCGTTTTAGACCTGCGCGTGAAAGAACACCAGAAAGAGGCAGAGAAGAGGGTACGGAACGGAATGTCAAACTCGGAACGAGACACTTAATTGGATTCGATACATGCACGCGACGATGGGAAGCTGGAAAGGTCGAAAGAAAACAGTTACCTTTCAAACTCCACGCTGGACCTCTCGTAGTCGATGGTATTTATGTCCTCGTTCTCTAGATGTCCAAACGTTTTGAACTGCATCGTGTAGTCGAGGGTGGCTGTAGTCACCGAACGATTTTCTCTTCCAGGAACGCTGAACGTAGCGT